AAGCACTACATGCTTCTGCGGGCTGTGTGCTTCTCCAGAAGAAATAAACATGTCCTGATGGTTGTGTATTTTGTTACTGTATACATGATCTCACCTGATACTTGTGTCCTGGAGGGTTTTGATTTAAAAAAAAACAGGTACCAGGGAACCCTGGCTATTTATCTTCTCTCCCTACTCGTGTTCCCTGGAAACAAGAAGGGAATTTTCAAAGACTCAGACCAAGAGGCGATGAATTGTTATCACTGATTGAGGGTTGGGAGGGAGGTACCCCCAAGGGCGCCTGGAGTGGGGTCACATGGTGTGGCCTTTGTTCTCAGGGAGCTCACCTCCAAAGGGAAAGAAGTTTAATTAACTGATAAAGGAAGGTATCCCAAGCTGGCAGTATGTCCTTGAGGGACTGAGAGAGGGGCAGGCACACAGACTAGCTCTTCCCAGTTGTGATCCATAATGCCTCCCACATGTCCTTAACAGGTGGCATGGCAACTCTTGCTGATAAAGTTGGAAGGGCCAGGGTGTGAGTTGGCATTTGTCCCTGGGGTGGCACGCACAGTGAGGGTGGCGCCTCCAGACAGCGTCATTGCTTAGGCTTCCTGCGGGAGCAGACAGGCTGTAATGATGCCCACCCCCAGCCACGGTAGCGCCTCAGTGCCGATAGATACAGGCTGCACGTCTCAGCAGGCATCGAGGTGTCTGAGCCTCTGGCCCCAGCTTCCTTCGCAGCTTCACCTTCGCTCTGTCTCTTTTGGCTCCCCAGGCCCAAAATGAACATGGTCAGATTGCAGAAATCCCCTCCGGAGGGGAGCAGGGCAGTGGGGTGTTCATGGAGTAGACATTCACCTATGTGCAGCCACAAGTATGTGATATGTGGACCCCCCAGTAATGAGGGCTGAACCACCATTTGGGGACTCACGTACATTGTTCTTGGTATGAGGCCAGTTCTCAGGTGGCTTCCTTGGGCTCTCTGTCTTGTCATGTGGCACGAGTGCATCACTGCTAGACCACGGGGCCTGCTGAGCGAGTTCCCGAGGCGGGAGCCTGGCTGCAGTGCTTTGTGTTCATCTGTTTCCAGAGCCCACCGGGCATCTTTCTGGCGGCGTTGGGGGTGAGAGGCCATGTCCCATCAGTCACATAGCTGCGTAAGTTCCTGTTGGGAGAGGGAAGGTAGCTTGTCGCCACGATCCAGGGTTCCCTGGGTCCAGCGGCCTTTGGGAGTCTTCAGTCAGTCTCAGAGGACCGATCTACCCTCATGGCAAGCCCTGGTTTTAGCCCTGGCTGGGCCTTCTAAGGTCTGGAGAGGGGACCCATCTTCCTCCACAGATGCCTTGGTGATTGTAGAGGTAAACGGTGGCTCAGGGGTGTGGGTCCATTTTTGGCAACTTGCGCCCTCCGGATACCTTTAACCATGGGGGGGATGCCACTTTGAAGTTGCAAATTTCACATGAGCATTCTCAGATCCTGGGACGCCATCGGCTTGAAGCGGACCAATTCTGAGTTTTTGGTGCAGAGCACCTGCTGGGTAAGAGGTGGGCAGGCAGGGAGGCTGTCCTGGGGACACCGGGAAAAGGGAATTTATTGCTATCCTTCCCATGTGTTCCCTTGAAGAGGAGAGGCTGACTGGCAGGGCTGGGAGAAACCACAGAAGCCTGGCTGTGCAGCTAACGAAAACTGCTTGCAAAGGCTGTGGCCGTAGCTTCCCAAAGGGATGCCTGGTGCAAAGCAACCACCTCCTCCAGGCCATGCCTTGATGTTGGCGTTGGAGGCTTCACTTTGAACTGGGGCTCCTGGAGCGCTGGTGGCAGACAACCGTGAGGGCTCAGTCCACAGCGCGCACGACAGAGGACTGCTGAGGCTGCTTTGTCAGGGCTGACGGCCGTCATTCTGAAGCCCAGCGAGCCATTGGGCCGGGGTAAATCAGGAAATCAGGGTGCCCTGCCTGCTTTCCTGGAGCTGGTGCATGGCAGGTGGACTTGCTGTCCAGTCACACAAAGCCCTTTCGAAGTTGATGCTTCCAGCCCATCACAGGTGGAAAGCTGAGGCTTCCGGCACACTAAGTGGTAAGAGGGCCTCTTGGGGTACCTGTGGGCTCATCTGCCATGCCTTGCTTTTCCTGCTGACATCCTCACCGGGCAGCCAGCCCCGTGCCCTCTCTCCAAGGCTCCAGTCTTCACACAGCTCACTGCTTCAGCCTCGCAGCTACAGTACAGGGTGTGGGCGGCACCTATCCCAGAGGCTTATTGGGTTGTTACTATCAGTGAAATAAAACAGGACTTAGCACAGTGCCTGGCACAGTATAGTACTACTATAAGATTAATATTGTTACTATTACTCAGGTTTTTAAAATATAATTTTAACTTTCTGACTTGAACTTCAACTTGATACAAGTATTGAATCTTGTACTGGGTTTCTGCTTGGCTCTGGTGCGCCGGGTCATGACGTCTACTCGTTCCTGTGGAGGCTCAGGGCGTTGGTAGCTGTGGGGTGAGGCTGCGGGGCAGAGGCCCACCTGCCTCCTGCACAGCTTGGTCGATCCCTCCATGGCCTTCCGATGTCCAGCCCACTGGTCTCGGATTCAGGTTACTGCCCTGCGTAGAGTCGCCCTGTGGGAATCGCCCGTTTCCCTTTCCTCAGAGACCTCTAGGTCACGGAGTCTGTAGTTCTGAATCAAAAGAGAATTAACTGGGGAGTTGCAGCCTAAGGTGTCGGTGTAACAAAGCAGCAGAGGTTGAACTGTTTTCTTTATCCATTTGGTAGACACTTATTGAGTATCTATTGCAGACCAGGCGCTGGGCTGAGCCCAGGAGTTTCAGTGGTGAAGACGCCCAGCCCTTGGCCTTCGGGGTAGTTGAATTGCAGAAGAGGAGGCAGCCACGCAGTGCCAGCGAGTCAGTGCCCTGGGGGCACAGAGGGCCTTGGGTGGAGGGACTGGGGACAGGGAGGGCTGCCCATGAGAAGCACTGTCTAACCTGGGACTTCATAGAACAGTGAATGTAGTCAAAGAGGAGAGAGGAAGGGTGTTCCAGGTGGAGGGGCAGCAGGTACAGAAGGCTGAAGAGAGCAGGGGCTGCTGCAGGGCCAAGAAGTAGGTCGTTCACGGCTGGAATGAAGCATGTGGACTGGCGTGGGGCTGCAGGGAGACTGGAGAGCTCAGCAGGGGCTGCAGCTTCTGCTGAGCTCAGCCTTAGCGTGGGATCCAGAGAAACCTGCTCAAGTATTTTAGGCAGAGGGGATGATGGGACCAGAATGTCCCTTCAGAAGGTCCCCATGGGAGCATTGTAGAAGATAGGATGGGCAAGACTGGAGGGAAACAGAGGCTGGTTAAGCATTTGGCAGTGACCCGAGTGGAGGCTGGCTGGATGCAGGAAAGTGGGGAGATGTGACTGATCCAGGAGTGAGAACAGATGGGGCCTGGTTATTGTCTGAATGGAGGGAAGAGGGGAAAGTCCAGCCTGAGACCTGGGCTCTTGCCTGGGCAGCCAGTGGACAGAGATCCTGGGGACTGGGACAGACCAGAGGGCAGAAGATGGAGACAGCTCCAGAAAGCTCCAGCAGTGGGGGAGAGAAGGCCTCTGACAGGCTGCACCTGGTTTGCTGGGTGGAGAGCCTGACCATTCCCTAGCCACTCTCCGTATGTGAGACTAATAGAATTATATATTTAAAATATTTCATAATTATTATTCCCGGGTGCAGTTGGTCTCCATTTGCCTGGGCCTAATCAGTAAGATTCCAGAAGTCACATTTTTGAAATTTTAAACATAACATTCTTCCCACAAAGCGTGTTTCTCTCAGTATTGCTGGGACATCTCAGTATTACAGACCTCTGGTGATGGACGTAAAAGTGTACATTTTAATATACTGAGAAATTATTCGTGCCTGATAATATACCAGGCACTTTGCCATCTCACCCCAAATCATTGACACCCACCCTTCAAGGCGACGCAATGGTGCTTTTATAGGTAAGGGAACTGCAACTCAGAGAAGCTGAGCAGATTGGTCAAAGCCACACTGCTCACAAGTGTTCCAGGCAGAATTTTAACGCCTGTCTGCTTCAGAGCCAGTCCTGTTTATAGTGTCGTCTCTGCTTTCTCCTCCATAGGGCTGGCTGCTTCTCTCCTTCTGGGATATTCTGCTTGTGGTTAGTGTGGGCATTTTGCTAATTTTGCTAATGAGGTCGGGAGTATGTATGGATGGCTTGGAATATGGGGAGTCACCCCTTGTCTTGATCAAGTACAAATGGAGCATCATCTGTCCATCCATCCATATTCCCAGGAGAAAAAGCCATGTGCAGAGACACTTTTGGGAAGGAACCTCAGATTCAGTTTTTCTCTTCAAGAGAAGAGAAAGTAAATGGGTCATTTCCCCCCTCCAGCTTGGATGGACAGATGGACAGGCAGGAAGTCCTGAGGAAAGGGGTGTTCTTTGGGTGGGTTGTAATCCTTTAATGGACTGGAGGCACCATGACAATCTTACTCATTTTCCATACTTGAAAGACAATAAATCCATGCTTTTCTCGGGTTCTGGACCCCTTCAAGCTATTCTTGAGTTGCAGGGCAAACAAATTTCTTTGCAGAAATGTAGAAGCCTGTTACTCTTGGTTTCTGATGTCATCTTGGGATTGTTACTGAATTTCACCCTTGGGACCAGCGTCACAGGAAATCTTTCGATTGAAATTCCTGCAGACAGGAATCATGCCTGAGTGTTCGGATTTAATCGTGATTTTGCTAGCTGTTCTGTGTCATGCCGTGGATTGCTAGAGCGCACTTGGGTATCTCCCCGCTTCTGTTATTCCACCCGATAGCCTAATGTTTTTTCCCATGAATTCAATGAATGATGGGACCTTTTCAAAGGAATGTTGGTCAGTGACTAAAGAGAAAACATCTCCCTAGGACTTTTCTAATGTTATGATAATGTGACAATTTGATGCAATTATTGAAATGTTTACATTCCTTCCTATTTGATGTGATTCTTTTATTTTCTCTCATTTATAATGCTTTCGTATTCAGGAAGTTGAGGTAGGTTTTTGACTTTTCAACTGTCTGTACACGTAGCATCGAAATAGTTGCCAAATAAAATGTAAATTTCATTCTAAATCCTAAATCTCAGTGGTAAATATTTGTTTTAGCTCAGTGAACCAGGACCGCACATATTTCTTTTGCACTGATGTATCCAGGGGATGCCATTTATCAAATGCATATACACAGTCCATTTGCTGCTTTATCTTTTCTCATTAGTGACAGTACAAGTATGATTGTCAGTTATTATCCGTGTTTTACTGGTGGGTTATTTATTGAAAGAGCAGAGCAACTGACGTTGTTATTTTCTAAATCATTGTGTCTAAGGCCTGCAGGACTTTATACCAAATGTCAGACCAGTTTAGGAAGAAATTGATCTAGAGTGTGTGTATAAGCATACACCCACCTGTATTTACACACACATGGTAACAGTTATGGGAATCTCACAGGGGTATGGAGATGTTACAGCTAGAACAGCTTACTTCTATTTTATACAATTTGGCTAGGACTTACTGTATGCTGCTGAGCGATTCCTTGGGGGAATCTTCAGGTGAGTAAGACTCATCCCTGCTCAGAAGTAGCCTGGGCACAGGTGTGTGAAGGTGCTATGTTCACTTGGAAGTATACTAATGCACACAGCTCCCTGTCCCTGGTGTACAGGATTCTCAGGAGTGGGATCTATGGAGGGAAGGCTGGCGGGCCTCAAGTCATCACCCAAGCTGGGCCAGTTGGTTGAGCTACTTCCACCAGAAGGATTCTCGCTGGGTGGGGCTCTTGACTGGGAATGGGCAGGACAGGCCTGCCAGCACGTTGCTTGCACAGACGGAGCCCTGGGAAGAGCTCGGAGATGAGGCAGTTATATAGGAAGCCAGCTCCTTCCCCAGTAAATGGAATGTTTTGTACTTCCCAACAGCTTCATGGGTAGGGATTTGCACCATGCTCCAATTAAAGGGCAGCCAATGTCACATTATACAGCAGATGCTCTTATACAACATCATCTGGAAATCTCAGTTTTCCAGGGACTTCTGTTATTATTTTGGAGGCACTCTTCCTACTTGCCGACCAGCGCCCCCTTCCCACCTTCCCCAGTCAAGTCGTGTGAGAATCACAGAACTAGTTTGCCCTGAATGCTTCTGGGAGCAGTGTGCCTGTAGCCTCTTCATTGATCTCTTTGTAAAGGTTCTGGATTCAGTAAAGCGGGATCTACTTCGATCCAGGATCTACAGACCTGGCTTGAGTCCACCTGGCCTTGCAGGCAGTGCTTCTCCCTTTTGTACATGTCTGTAGGGGGTCTGCAGACGGCCTCGAAGAAGCCCCTGCCCTCCCTTCACCTTACTTCTGTACGTGTTTCCTTTGCTCACTCCTGGTTGAGACAAATGCGGCTCCCATTTATTTTCTAGGCTGGTAATTTGTATTATCTCCAGTAATCTTCAGATGAAACTACAGGGTTCAAACAACTTAGCTAAAATATGTATGAAGGAGAAATGATTTGTTCCATGTGAGCTAAATGGCTTTGATCTGTAGTATCTGAAGCCGTAAGATAGGTGAAAAATTCCATCACCGTCTTCATAGGTGACAGTAAAGCAGTTGGGTTAAACGGCTTCTATTCGGTTCTGCCACTCCATCTCTTAGCGTCCGTTTTGACACTCTTTGGAGATGAAATAAGCACCTCAGGAAAGGCAAATCCCTGGAGAATATTTGAGCTAAATTGCAAAATGGCTAAATCAGCCATTTTGGGGCTGTGGTACACTGGACGAAAAAGTCAGGTTCCCATTAGAAATGAGCGGGAAGCTTAGACTTACATTGTTTATGATCATCCATGATAAAGAGATTTAATCAGTCAAATTTTAGCAGGATTGTTCTTGCACAATTTCATGTTAGGGAGGCTTAAAGGTTTTATTGGAAAATGCATTATAAAGCCTATGTTCTTTTGCATATATGTGGATATATGTACATATACATGTTATTAACATGTAATGATATCCTTATTAAGGAGAAATATATTTATTAATGTCTAGTACATATAAGAATGTACAATATGTGTTACATAGGCATATACTTTAAACAGATTTCCTCTCCTATAATTATCAAAACAGAATATCTCTAAAGTAGTTGAAAATCTAAATTCGTTTGCCACTGGGTGCCAATAATTTCCCAGGATCCATTCCTATGTTAGTAAGATAGTTAATCAGTGAGATAAATCGAGAAGTATAGTTTTAACCATGTTGATCAGCCATGGAGGAATAAAAAACCTAATTGGGGTCATGGCTGTTCCCCGTCTGATTCCTCCTCGGCCACGGCACCACGTCCTCTTCCTCATCCTAGACATGCAATGATTTGTCACTTTCTTAATACGGCTTTATGTGCGCTAAGATATTTCATGATTTCCAACATAAGTCAATGTGCTCAAGAGTGAGACTCTGTTTAAATTTATAGGTTCTTTCAGCTTTTAGCAATCCCTAAAGAGTTGGGTAATTTTCCTTTATAACATGGTGTAGTAAAATGGCACCAGCCTCTCCTCATATAGTTAGAATTTAGAGGAAGACTGTCCCCCGCCCTGTCCGATGGAGCCCTGACATCATCACTCTGTGCAGTGGCGCCCATAAAATATACCCGGGTCGTAACACTGCCATTCTTCATTCCTCAGTCTGTATGATGCACTAATAGGAGTTACTGAATTTAATAAATGGCTGTATTTAGATATGCATTCTATCTTGGTTTATGTTTTAAAAATTAACTGTTGCTGGGGTCCTTGCGAGTCATTTTTAAAAGATTCATCATTAGATGATGAAATCACCAGTTAGGAAGCCAATTCCCACAGTCTTCTGGCACATTTGATATAACCATTTGATATGCCTTCTACCACAGTCTGAATTTTAACAGGCCACAACTTTATTGGGGTATAAGGAAGCTCAGAAACAAGGGCTCTTAAAGTCCTGCAGTTTCCTGGAACCTGGCTGGGACTCGGGGGCCATGCAGCAGGAGCACGCGTGGATACCGTGCAGCGCTGGGGGGTGTGTGGTGGCAGGCACACCACTTCCCAGGTGGGAATTGTAGTGGTGAGAAGGCTGATGGAACTGTCACCAGCATAGGAAGTCTTGGGTCTGTTTTTGGATAACATAAAAATATGTGCTGTGTTATTTTATTTAGATAGAAAATAAGATAGAAGAGAAGTTGAGGTGGTGCCCCCTGGGTCTTAGGCCCAGAGAAATGACCAGCCTGGGATTGATAGAGTGTTGGTTCTGGGCCATGGACAGCTGTCCTTACGTCCTTTGAACAACCCGATTATTAAGTGGGATTCAGGGATGAGCACATTCTCAGGAGGTAAAGCTCCAAAAGAGGTCTCCTTGTATCTTTGGCTTTTTGCACATGGATTTGGTGGCTGCCTCCCCAGAAATGCCTACAGATGCAGAGTGAAATGATCAGTAGAGCCCCCACCTGCATAGACTCACCATGCATCAGGCCAGTCGGACCTGGCTAGAATAGTGTGGAAGGGTGGTCCCTATGCCCGGGCATCTCGTTCTGCAACAGTGCCCACCAGGAAGCCCCCTCGTCTGTGCTCAGTGACCATCCCCCTGGTGGGCTCAGGTGCCTAAGATGCTTCCCACGGGTTCATGATCTTGGCTGCCGATACGAGGCTTCTCTCTCAGCCAAAGCAGTCACACCCAGGGTCTCATCAGCCCTCTGCTCATTGGTCTGTACTGTGGCAATTTACTTTCCCGAGGCAGGGCGAAAGCAATCAGAGGCAGGGAGTCATTTTCCTTCCCTGCTTGGCCTTGCTGGGCGAGGGGCTGTGTGAAGGGCTCGTTTTGCATAATGAGCTTTCACTCAAGGCGTACTTTCACATTTTGGCAACAGTTAGGCAGTGTTATTACATTTCTAATCAGTTTAAAATATTCTAATGCAGGTACCTGCTTTTAGAAAGCTTTCTATTTAAAACTGATTTTTCCCCAAGAAATTTGTAAAATTGGCAATTACAGTTAACCTGAAGAAGTGACAAGGTCCAGAGCAGGCTTCAAATTCCATCCAAGTTATAAAGTCTGTTGAAATCATTAGGGAATATTCAGTTCTTGGGACTTGCTCGAACCTTCCTTTGTCATCAAAGAGAATGTGATGTGTGAAATTAAAGTAAAGGAGTTTGTCTTCGGCTCCAGTCCTTCCCTGTCAGGCACACATCCTAAGCTTCCAAGGACCTCCATGTATTAGAATAGCATGTTCAGTAGGAAATATTTTATAAGATTCCATAGTCCATCAGACACAATGCCATCCTCTGTATGTGAAGAGGGCATTTATGAACCACAGTTGGATGGACGGATGGCTTGTTATTTTTATTCCAGGGGCAAGAATGAGTTCCTCTTGGCTTCTCTTTTCTCTTGCCCTTGTGAAGAACAGATCATGTTGGTTACATGCTGGTGTCTAGGGCCGAGCACATTGGCCATCAAACTGAGCAATCAGGTGCTGAATTTCCCACCCACCATCCAGCCCTTAACTTAGAATCATTTAACACTGGTGGCTGAGTTTCAAATCACATAGTTCAAAAGATTAGGATTTATTTAAAATTATAGATGGAGAGAGATGTGGCGGAGGGATTGGTTTAAGTTTCCTCAGTTATATTACATGGTGTAGACCTCAGAGACTTCCTAACTAGATGGGTGAGAAGGCCAGTTTTGCCAGAAAATTAAAGCCAGGGTAAAGTGGGCCAATCTCTTGGAGTTAAAAATAATTTAATGCCGAATCCAGAGGAACCTGTTCATGTTTATTCATGCTCTGGAAGATGGAATCACAGCCCAAGAAGCAATATGTTCTGATTTTACTCTAAATCCAGTTTCCTAAAATCTATTTAAGGGCTTAGGTGAACTCAGCCAGGATCTAATAAAACCAGGTAATTGAACGACAGAAGCTGATAAAATTCACAAAAGATCTTGTTGGAGATAAACTGCAGCAGTAGACAGCATGGACAATAATTTAAACTAATTGTGCACTTTGATGTAAATTTACTTATCGGGAGGAGAAATTGAGGCCTCATTTTGGACAGCTTTCTGAAACTGCAGCATGCAGAGAACCTGCCAAAAACACATACAGCAAATAATTTGGGTCCGTTTCAGAGGAAATTTAACTGAAAAGGGGCACATGCCCTAAAATGATGTGGGATGCTATAGGTGGGTTGAAACCTCTTTGCCTTGCTAATGGTTCGCCTTTGCTGACAGAATGGAAGTGCCAGTGGCTGAGCACTGAGGTGGGAACAGAGTGGACAGTGGCTGTCTGGAAGGAAAGCTTTATTAGCAGTGGGGAAGAGGTTAACGTAACCATGAGGAAGTGAGTGACCTAGACCCCTAGAAGTTCAAAGTAATGAAGTGTCTCGCCTCAGAGCATAAATTGATGCAAGTTGCATGCAAGAAAGACACAGCTGTGAATCGACCAGATTGGGCAGACTTTGTTTTATCTTTATACTCCCAGAATAAATGGTATTAAGCTAAATGTATGCCTGTGGTTAATTCTAACATTTAAATGGCCCTCTGTTTACAAGTTTTGTGAGTGTTGGAAAACTAACTGTGCACCACAAGTTACATGTCTCCATGTAAAAGAAATGTTGACAGTTGAATTACCAGCTGTTACAAACACACAGGCTTGATCGTCAGCGAGATCAGCAAGGCACCTGCCCGTAATTGATGGCAAATGCACCTTGCACTTCCCAGGCGTCTCTGCTTCTCTGCCTAACCAAGAAGGCTGAAATGTTTACACTATTCCCGGTGTTTAACCCATACAGTTTGAAAGACAAGAATATGAAAAGTAAATTGATATTTTTGATTGTATGTTAATACCTGTTTGAGGAAAGATTTCTAAGCTGTGTTTTCCTTTGTGTTTTGGGGAGAGGAAGAAAGGCAGGTCTTTGGGCAGTTCCAGGAGAAGCTTCCTGAAATCTGACCATCATTTTCTTTTCTTTTTTTCCCTTATATAGGATGATTATTTCAGAAACTGGAATCCCAGCAAGCCTTTTGACCAAGGTAAAGGATGCACTATTTCTTCCTGTATCTTCCACGGGAAATGTGGTCTCGGTTTTCCTTTCCTGCATGTGGAGTTACTGTTCCCTCAAAAGCCAGCTAGCTGTCTAGTTTGACTGACTTTGGGGACCGAACTGGCTGGGGTGATAGAAATTATTGCATCGCATTGGCTATTTGAGATTGTCTAAAACAGACTGAAAATTTTTTTTATTGAATTGACCACTACAATCATGGGTTGGCTTTGTTTAATAACAAAACAAAACAAAGAAACAAATAGTAAAATGGTTATCAGACTGACCTGGTGAATTGTTGAACCGACTACAGTGATTTCATTCATGGAACAGACTGCCTGGAGATGCTGCCCAATTCACATGAGCCATAAAAATGAAACTCCTGCTAGAAGCAGGCTAATCCCAGGAGGCTTTCAAGGGCACTGATATTTCACTGTTAAATAACTGCCTCATGGTTTCTAAACAGAAGTGTGTTTCAGAGCCGGCTCATTGACCACTTGGGTGTGAGCACGGTCCTCAGAGGGCTCTTCCCAACTCACATTAGCAGGCCTAACGTTATTCTCCCTACGGCCCTTGTAAATCACCACTGGTGTCCCCCCAATGAGTCATGTAAGACACAGGAGAACCTGCCAGAAATCACGTCCATGTTCTTATTGTTCTGTGAGTGGCTGCTGCTGGCACAGACCCTGCTGCTTCTAATGATGGTGGATTGTACTTCATGTATGTAGACACAATAAATGCTGAAACTCAGAGGGATAATATTACCTACCAAGTCCTGAAGTTTACACTTCTGAGGATGCACTTCAGTTCTGTAGCTTTTGATTGCTCATGATGGTCAACTTGACACAAAGAAATCAAGGAACGTAGTGACATGTAACGTGGTAGGAGGTGCTCTTTTTTGCCCTCTTCTTTGTCACTTTCTCTGGAACTCTGGTTGTCTTATAAACAAAATGGGTATTAAAATTTCTGCATAGACATTTTCACTCAGGCCTTCAAGCAGGGCAACATTTCATTCATTCATAATATGCATTCATTCATTCTCAACTATCACTGTGTGCACAAGCACCAAGCCCACTTCTGGGGAGGAAGCAAAAAGGCTGTGGTGCCCGCCTTGGAGGAGCTGGGAGCGGGCAGTGGGGGTTTGGGTGGTAGCTCAGTGAACAATTACTCTGGGATGTGTTAATGGCTGTGCTGCAGGTATGGGAAGCAGTGGGGCTGGGCTGTCGGTGGGGACTTCCTGTGTATTGTGTGTGCTTCTTGGAAGCAGGTGCCAGGGAAGACTTTCCTTTACGGATCTGTCTGGCCTTTTACAGATCTTAGCAACCTCCAAAGTCTTCGCTCCTTCACAGCTTTAGCAACGACTGAATCATCACCATCGATCACATTAAAGTTTAGGAAGGTTTTTGGAATTGAGTTTAGAAATTTTCCTTAAAAACATGGCTAAAATTTCAAAGGGATATACCTTTATTTCATAAGAATACTCAGATGTAGAGTAACCTAATCTCTGTGTGTGCCTGATACACAACCCCTTCTGCAAACATCCCTACCAGGATTCTGCTTACTGGAGGTCTAGACCAGAGCCAGAAATAGATTCTTGTCCTATAAGGATCAAATGTTGTCTGAAGAGCTGTCAGATTTACTCTTCCCCAAGGCTTGCAAACAAATATTAAAACTGTACCAAGGAAAGACATTTTTATTTTTGCTAATACACATTGGAAAAGGTAATATATGAAGGTGGGCATTGTTTGCCATTTGGGGCTATGAATGATGGCTTCCTTTGACTTGGGGGTTAACACAGAAGCTTTGAACACCAAAAAGAACCTGGTACTTAAGGCTGCTTAGCCAAAAAAATCCAAACAGGGATTTTTCTCTCTGAGGAGTGACGTCAGCTCTGTCCAGCAGTCTTTCCTGTGCTCCTTCTTTTCCCAGCTCTACAGGCATGAACACTGGATCTGCTTAGATAAATTCTCCCAGAAAACCTCATGACTTTATGGGATGTAATCGAGGACCTTAGCCAAGAAACCCCGCTTTGTACCTGGGGTGCTGCTGCTCTTGGCTATTTATATACAGAGCCGTGGGGAGAAGACGCAGAGCTCAGAATAGCCTTCACCTAAAATATCAGCCCCCAAATGTCATCAATTACATTGTGTGCTGCTCAATAAAAATGGGAGGTCACTGTATCAGTGCTGACACCACTTGGTGAAATATAAACCACAGGCATGGAAGATGGAGAGCATTTCCTCTTTCAGATAATAGGAGTGCTGCTGAACTCCAGTGGAAGTTGTCAGCTACCGAGAAAAGTCATTTCCCCTCCTAAGCTGAGAAAGAATCAAACATGGTAAGAGTGGTTTTGTGTTTGGGGCAAACTCTGTAGAAGTGGAACTTCTTGAAAAATATCTCAGAGTTTCAGATAACAAGCAAGCACTGGGGTAGGGGGAAGAGGCAGAAAGGGGCTTCATAATGAAGGTGGGTGCAGGGTTGACTTAAAATGTAGGGGAAGGGGAAGGGAAAGAAGGCCATACATGGGGGATTCTGGTAGAATGTAGCCAGAAAAGTGGGTTTGAGGCAGGTCGTAAAGGACATTCCATACCAATCTATGAAGTCTGGACTGTGTTTTCTTGGCAGTAGGGAGCCATAGAAAGTTTTTGAGCAGAGGTGTGACATGATGAGGGCAGTATTTTGGACTTCATTGGGTGACTCAGCAGCTGTGATTAGGAAGCCTAGACGCACCTACTAAATGATGCCCCGCCATGAGACTCTTGGGTAACTTCTCCATCGCGTCCTTCATTGCCTTGGAGCCCAGGGCTGTCACTGTCACAGGTGGTCAGACTTACATTCAGTTCTGCAGCTTGACCTCTGGAATGATCGTGCAGCTCCTGACTGCCCTGGTTGGATGTTGGTGTGAATAGTTAGGGTGCTTATAGTGTGCAAGAAATGGTCACCTACAGGTAATTGCTCTCAGGGATATTTACTGAACTTTGAACAACGTGGCTTCATAGAGTGAGCACTTACCATCTAATTGACTTCAAGGCAGTTAGGAAAATAGTACCTCACCTGGCAGTCTCCTTCCAAGGACTGAAAATGTCTTTAACTTGTTATCTTTAAACGACTCATTAATGCTTCTGTCAGTGGAGTGTAATAGCCATCAACTGCAGGCTTTGTAAGAAGAACTTTTTCTGAGATTTGAATAAAGTAGTGTATCCTTTTTGATTGTAATGATTTAATGTCAGATCTTCTCACAGAAGGGACAGACAGGAGTCCAGAAGTGAAGGGAACAATTGATAACTCAGATGAGACGTTGCCTTTGTGAAGCCCGCAAAGACAGATGCCCTGCAGAGAGAGCTGGGCTGCCCGGGTGGAGAGGACGACGGGCCAATGCAAATGGCTTCCTGCCTGGCATGGCAGGAGGAGCGGAGGCCCTTGGGTGCACCTCTGCAGGAGGCTGGCTGTGGCTGGGGGCTCTGGAGTGACCCCACAGCTTTGGGTGGCCTCTGCCTCTTTGCCTTGCACACCTTCTCTCACCTGGCCCCTGGCAAACCTGGGAGCCCATTGTGGGTGTTGAGCTGATATGAGATACATGCCTCTGAAAGTGGCATCTGGCCACTTTCCTCAAGAACGCAGTCCCTTGTCCCACACATACACTCTGTTGGGGACACACATACACTCTGTCTGTGGAGATTCACAATGCTCATTAGCAATGTGAAAGCTCTGAGGAATCTTTTAGAAAGGAAGCCTGTTTAACTTATCATTTTCCACATTTGCCCATGAGCACATGCTTTCGTTGTTTTTCACTGAACACCTGTCAGGTACCCAGAGAAAGCAGTGCATTCTGTGGGGTACGCTTAGGGAAGTGCAGCGTGGGGTCTGGCGGGTTTGCGGTCAGCTTCTCCCAGCTTGGCACTTGAGCCTGACAGTTTACCAGCTGTGCGGTTCTGGAAATGGCAACCAAAGCCTGGCACAGATGAGGTGAGTCAGTGTGTGGGGCAGACAGCTAGTGCTCAGTACACATTTGCGTCAGCAGGTAACTGACCTTTTCTGTCCCCTTCTTTTCCTGAGCTGCCTTTCCCTGCTGCTTCTCTCCCTCCCCACTCAGGTGTCCTCTTCCTTCATTCCCTTCTGGGGGCCTTCCGAGTTGTGATGCCCTGAAGCTCTTGGGACTGCACTGGGGCTGGCCTGTGTTATACTAGGCGGGTCATCGCAGTGGTACGCCCACACCCTCATTTCTGAGGCTGAAGACGGTCAGCCTTTAAACGTCTGTCTGTCTTCTTCCCTCCCTTCTTTCCTTCCGACAAGTGCTCGATGTTTGAACCCACTGTGCCGGATCACAGGCACCGCCCTAAGGAAGGCCTCTCTGTGGGCTACTGCCAATAATCAATCATAAGTCATCCATCAGGTCTTACGCAGGCGTGGTGTGTGTGTAAGGACTGCAGGGTGAGGCTGGGGCGAGGAGCACGAACCAGTCCTGGTCTTGTTGTTCCTGGTGAGGCAGCTGGGAAACTGCAAAGGCCGTAAGGTGTCAGGCATTCATACTAGTGACCCAGGTCAGTTTGGGTTGGTGTGGCGTGTTTTGCTGTGACATGGCCCCCCTCGGCCTGTGCCTGTGGTGTGTGGATCAGGCTCCTTGTGCTGCACCCTGGCCTTTGCTGAGAACAGTCACCTTCAGGGTGATAATAAAGGTGCTGTCACAAAGATTCCCTTTTCCCTTGGAGTGGTGTGGCTGATGAAGAGATTTATCCAAACGCCCTGAAGGGGAAAGAAAATGCTGATTGACTGAACCACCGTGCTGTGGTAAGAAAATAAGACGTGTTGCTTCGAGGATTCACAGAATAGGGGATGAACAGGAGCAAAGGGAATTCTAACAAGTTGTTTCAAAGCTTCTCAACCAGTCCTTTTTGAAAAAGAAAACTGACGTTTATTCACAATGCTTTTGCTGAATGAAAGATTTTTTTTTTTGGTGTTCCACTGCGGGGTTGGGCAGGTAATTTATGTACA